ATCCAACAGGAATGCCTAGAAGAAAGAAGAGAAGAATGTTACAAAAGAAAATTGTGCAGCCTATGTTGTTTACAACACCAGGGGTATATTCACAAAATTAGAAACTTTACATGTCCTCAAAACAATTGTTATATTCCCAATTCATATCTATTGCAGACATCTGAACCAAAATTAATTTGTTCACACTTTATTCATAAGTATTTAATGTCAAATAGGTCTGGATGGAATTTCAAGGAAATACCTTTACCCATATCTGTTAAAATTAATTCTAAAGAGTGGTAATCCTGTAAAAAAGTATAGAAGCCAAGTTTGATGTTAGTTTCTCCATTGAAAACCAAACTGCAGACTAAAAGCAGAAAACGATACACTAAATTTGAAAATCAAATGTAAATTCCACAGAAAAAGTGGCCAAATGCATTATCAAACGAAGCATTTAAGTTCTACATCTTAAAAACAAACTAAATCATTCTAATGACATCAACAAGAATCAACAAGCAAATTAAAGCATGTATAAAGTATACTACATTTAAATGGACATGGTTCAGTGAAATAAAAAATGTTACAAACTTACAATAAATAAAATAAAAAAATTTTTAAGCATTTAAAACTATAGTGCTAGAATGATGAATTAAACGTAGTATGTTAGATACCTTTTTTAAGGGAATTTTACAACAGAAAAAACGTCTTGTTTAAGAACATCAAACCTCTCAATCAATCAATCAAGTAATTATACTTGAAAGAAAGAAAAAAAGTAAATAAAAAAAATACTATACATCCTGTTGTAATAAAAATAAAATAAAAAATATTAACTGGGGAAAAAAACATAGGTAAAGAACTAGAAATCAACTTTTAGTTTCTAATAAAAAACAGAAAGGTTAATCACCCCTAAAAAAATAGAAGATTACTCTCCAAAGAATACATCAGGAAGTATAACACATCACATTGACCAATGTTGTTGTTCTTTATTACACATATACTCACTATGTTCTTTTTCATTTTGTACATTGCCATTTACACTGTAATTTTTGTCTAGTCCTTTTCTTTTACAGAGTTAGTTACTTGCAGACTTAGCAGTGAGTCATAAGCTTAGCTATATAATGCCGTACTTAATTTTTATATGAAAGAAGTTTTGTTACTAAACAAAAATAAGGAAAAAACCTTGATGAAAGAAAATAAACGAGTATTGATATCCCTTAGCATATCTATTGAAGAAAGCCATGAGCTGAAACAGCATGAAGAAGCTACAAAGATAATCCTATGGCTTAATAAAATATCTCATAATACTCCACAAACATAGTGACAAAGTTAACCATATCCAATCTAGGGACAAAAACTTCTAGGACCATGATATCTAAACCAATTATTTAGAGCACAGTGGTCAAAATTATAAGTAAACATTCAGGACTGGAAAAATATCAAAATTTACTTCAAAAGAATTTGAACATTTGGAAATACAAACTTATTGGGCAGTAATTTCAAACAAAACTTACCTAGAGCAACAATAAATAAAAGCAACTACGATAATTATTAATACCAGGGAATCAACTTTGAAGAAAAATATCTCATTCCACTTGACTAACTCAAGATCAGAAGGCAATAAATGATGTGCCCTTCTTCCACGTGTGCGTGCACTCTGTTGATGAACCAATGCATCGCTAGGGAGGCTCTGATAAGGAGAAAGGCGTACAGCCACTGTATATTGCTGGGAATCTGAACCTTCAACTCGGGGAAACTGCATTAGAAATATGCAAAGAAAAAAAAAATATGGGAGCTGAAAAATAAGCATGATATGACAGGTATTAAAGGTTACCTGAAAACTGAGATTGCCAAAATTAAACACAAAAAGCAAACTAAAAGCAACTGAAATCATACCTGTGCTTCTGCTATGATGATTGTAACCATTGTTCTAATCTTTCTACAGAGTTTACCCTTCAGATGAGATTCTAGCATATTTTTGGACACCGGAACTCTCACAGCCTTCATATCCCCAGATGGCATCCGAATTATATTATGGAGACCCCTAGCTTCAGTAGCACGAATAAAAATGTCCTGACCAAGTTTGTTTTGAGGGATTATATAATAATTTTTCTTATGTAGTGTGTCAATGATAGAGTTTCCACCATTTGTTGGAGAAAATGTATCCTGGTAAGAGAAAACAAATGATGTAAAAGTGGACAAAGTAAAATACAAGAGAAAAGCAGAGTTCAAGTAGCAAAAATGAGAAAGGTTAAAGAAACTTTACTCTGTTTTTATAACATTCGTGAGCATGGCTAAGGTTGTTCCAGCTTGCATAAGCTTGAATGATCATATTAGCATTGGAAACTGAAACATTTAAATTCAGATCCCGAGTTGATGTCAAACGTAATTGAGAGGTTGCAGCCAGGGCATTGAGGTCATATTGGTACCTACAGGTAGCTGCAATTAGGCAAAGAACAGAAACTGGAACTAAAATATAATTTTAATAAAAGTGAGAGGTGAAGTGACTAAGTGTGTATCAACTGTTGAACTAAAATTACTTAAGATTGCAAAATTCTTTAATTCAAGTAGATAATAAATGCATCCTTACTTTCACACTATACACATTTGTCCTAAAACATATTCTAATAAAATTAAGAAAACATGAATGATTAAGTGTGCATCAACTCGGATAGATTCATGTGTAATGACTTCTTCCTCTCTCTCAATGGCAGCATGTTTCAGGCCGTGTGTTGCTCAGACTCAGGTCTGATCATCATCCAATTCTTTTAACTGCATTCAATCCAGATGATACCCATGCACTCTTTTAAATTTTTGCCCATGTGGTTGCAGCATCCAAAGAGTAGGGATATTGTTGCTAATGCTTGGAATTTATCTGTTTATGGTAATCCTATGCATATTTTAACCAAAAGCTTAAGAATGTTAAATCTCACATAAAAGCATGGAATAGGAATAGTTTTGGCAATATTCATGAGACTGTTAAGTCTGCAACCTCTACCCTAAATAACATTCAAACACTAATTTCCACTTCTGAATATTCCGATACCTTGATTAAAAAAGAACAAACTATGATTGATCTTGAATTTGCACTTTCTTGTGAAGAATCCTTTTTTAAACAAAAAGCCAGGATTCAATGGCTTACTAAATTCTTTCATAGGAAATTTAAGTTGAGAGCTACTGTTAATCATATTTCTTTTTTAAGGTATGGTGATTTAATTATGTCTAACCCAACTGATTCACACTCATGTTTTGGATCACTCCAAATCCCTTTTTTCTCATGTTGTTCCTATTGCTGACTGCTCTGAATTTTTAAAGGTCATTCCCAAATCAATTACTCCTTCTGATAACATGAGACTTGCTATCCTTCCAACTATGGAGGAGGTTAAAAATGCAGTATTTAGTCTCTCTCCTAATAGTTCAATTGGTCCGGACGGTTTTCCTAGATCCTTTTTTCAACACTTTTGGGACATCATTCGCATGGATGTTTACAACTTTGTACTTCAATTCTTTCAACAAGGAATGATCATTCCAAATTATAATTCATCTCATGTTATTCTAATCCCTAAAGAGTCTGGTACTGATGAGATTGGAAACTTTCACCCTATTGTTGTATCTAATTTTAAATATAAGATCATTTCTAAAGTCCTTTCTGATAGACTTTCTTCTGTTATTGATAAAGTCGTTTCTTCTCATCAAAGGGGTTTTATTTCTGACAGAAGTATTACTGATTGTATTGCTTTAACCTCTGAGGCTATAAATTTGTTGGATAAAAACATTTATTTTGGTAACACTGCTTTAAAGATCGATATCCGCAAGGCTTTTGATAAGTTGGATTGGAGTTTTTTAATTAATGTATCAAAGGCTTTTGGTTTTTGTGATGTTTTTTGTCACTGGATATCTGCTCTTCTAAGGTCAGACGAGCTGTCTATCCTTGTTAATGGTCAGCCTATTGGATTTTTCTCTTGTTGTAGAGGTGTTAGATGGGCGACCCCGAATCTCCTATGCTTTTTTGTATTGCTGAGGAGGTTCTTAGCAGGGCCTTGTCGGGTTCCTTTTCCTATTCATGTTTTATATACCAATGATATTAAGATTCTTTGTAAATGCTCCCTTCAAAATCTTTCCAATATAATGGCCTTGTTTCGCTGTTATGTAATATAGCAGGTCAGCATATTAATTTGTCCAAATCCAAATTTTATGTAAAAAATTCTATCCCTTTTAGGAGGCTTGATCATATTAGTCATTGTCTTGGTTTCTCAAGAGGTGCTCTTCCTTTTAATTATCTTAGGGTGCCTATGTTAAAGGTAAACCCAAAACAGAATTTCTATTGCCCATTGTTGATAGAATAAAATCTAAACTTGCGATGTGGAAAGGTGTTCTTCTCTCTTATATGGGATGTGTGTTACTTGTAAAATTTGTCCTTCAAAACATGTTAATTCATAACTTTCAGGTTTATAAATGGCCTCTCTCCTTACTCAAGTTGATTGAGTCTTGGTTTCGAAATTTTATATGGTCTGGTCCAATCTATCAATCTAAACTTACTACTGTCCATTGGCATATTGTTTGCTCTAACTTTGATGAAGGTGGCCTCGGTGTTAGATCCCTTATGGATATCAATAATGCATACATGTTGAAACTATGTTGGAATTTTGTTAAGAAAGATAGCAATTGGGCGTCTATGTTAGCCAGTAAAGTTTATAAGAGAAGTGGTGATGTTATTTATTATCTGGCCTCCACAATTTGGGCTAGTATACGAGATATGTATTCAATTGTCAAGGATAATTCTACTTGGAAAATTGGAATTGGCAAGAAGGTTAATTTTTGGATAGATAGGTGGCTTTCAATGCTTATTATTGATATTCTTAATATAGATGTCTCCTTGCATCCCAAGTTGACATCTATTGTGGATTGTTTCATTAGAAATGGCTCTTGGCATCTTCCTCCCTTTCTTCAAAATAAGATTGGTGACCAGGTCTCTAGCATTGTCCTTCCTACTTTTGAGTGTGAAGACTCTTTAAAGTGGTCTTTCTCTTCTAATGGAAGTTTATCTTTTAAAGAGGCTTTCTCTTTTATTAAGAGACCTAAACCTAAGCTTAATTGGGCTAAACAAGTTTGGAATCATCATCTCCCCCTTCCAAATTTTTTGTTCTATGGAGACTTCAACATGATAAGCTTCCCTTTGAGGATCTTCTCCGTAGAAAGGGGGTTTTCATTACGTCCGTATGTTCCCACTACTATAATGCCTATGAAACTACTACTCATTTGTTTTTTGAATGTCCTTTTGCCTTAAGTCTTTAGGATTGGTTATCTGGGATTGTTGATATTAGATTCAATATTAGAAATGTTTTGGATATTCTTAACAAACCATGGAGAAAATTAGTTAATATTGTGCTTTTGGCAACTGTTACTTTTCTTGTTGTTGAGATCTAGCATAGTAGAAATCAAATAAAATTTAAAAATTCTACAAAGCTTGATTTTTTGAAGAATAAGATTTTAGCTTTAGTTAATTCTTATTTCTCTTTAACTTCTTTCTCTATGAAATCTAACATTGTGGAATTTAGACTATTGAAGGCTTTTTTGGTGCCTTGTAGGTCGCACAGAGTAGAAACCATTGCCGAAGTTCACTAGCTCCCCCCTCTCCTTGTTGGATCAAGTGCAATACAGATGGAACTTTTTCTATACATTGTTATTCGGCTGCTTGTGGGGTTATCTTTAGAGATAACTCTACTAACTCACTAGGCTACTTTGCGAAGTCAATGGTAGTCAGGTCAACTTTGGAAGCAGAAGTCTTAACGGTCATTCGTGAGTTCAACTTGCTTGTGATCAAGGCTGGATGTTTCTTTGGTTGGAGTCAAATTCTCTACTTGTCATCAAGGCACTCCATGATCCATCTTTAGTAACTTGGCACCTTCATGTACAGTGGCTGAATATGCTTGAGTTAATTAAATATATGAGGTTTAGATTCTCTCATGTTTATAGGAAGGGTAATGGTTGTGCTCATAACTTAGTTGGGTTTGGTCTTAAGCATTCTGGTTCTTTTTGGTGGTTTTCCGTTCCTCCTTGTATTGTATCGTCTTACTCTAGAGAGAGGTGTGGTCTTCCACACTTCAGGTTCTCGTAGTGAGAACTGTGGATACTTTTGTACTTGTTTTTTCATTTCTTTTTAGTGTTATATAGTATTTTTGATATACTGCAGATGATTGTTGTGGGGTGATGTGCTAACCTAGTTAGAATGTGCTCTTCCACACTTCAGGTTCTCATAGTGAGAATTGTGGATACTATTGTACTTGTTTTTTCATTTTTTTGTAGTGTTATATAGTCTTTCTTATATACTATAAATGATTGTTGTGGGGTGAGGTGCTAACTTAGTTAGGATCTCTTCCCCACATTGGGATGCTTTAGCATATCTATCTTTTTTTCCAAAAAAAAAAAAGTGTATCTACTGTTGATCCAAAGTTAGTTAAGATTGAGAAGTACTTTGATTAAAACCAATAGTAAATGCATCCTTACTTTCACATTTTACACATTTGTTCACTTTAGAGAAGTTAAATCCAAATTTAATACATGATAGATCCACAATTTAAAAACTTAAAAATTGTTTTCAAATTATTAAACTAATAAATGTCATATTATATTTGCATTCACATAAAATACGAAAGGGGGAAAATATAAAAAAGACGCATAGCCTCCAAACAACCTTTTCTTCTCTCTTCTTCAAAAATTTAACTTTTTAATTGATGGAGGAAATTTTATAGAGAAAAAAGAGGAAACTACAACTAGGAGAGGGTCCATTCAGGTATCAAGAACTACATTAATTTAAGACCAGTCATCCCCGGATACCATAAAAACAAAAAGTATATTTTTGTTGCAGTTTAGTTCTGTTTCAGCATTAGTTGCTGTATCATGGCTACTATTTGGATACACTAGCATCATTGATATATTAATTGAACCAAATCAATTTATTTCAAGACATCTTTGAAGCAATTTGACAGTTCCTTCAGAGCCTGATTTGCATTCCTGATAAGTTTTATGAAAAATTTAAGGTCTCCTAAATTGAAATCAGGGTTATTCTAGCCATTTGAAGCTTCCATTAATCTTTTCTGGATAAATATGAAGCAGTTTTAGCCTTGCTGTGCATGATGGATTCCATGAAATTTCTTTTGCATCTTTCAAGCATTGCCACCCAGATACAGGCTTAGATGCTATTACTTCTGCTGCAGGACAGATCTCTACCCCTTATTTTGATGCTTTTCTTGCCTTATCCCCTTCTGATAGTCTCAACTGGATATGACTCGAGATCAGATAAGTTCACAGAAGGCAGGTCAACTATTGGTCCTACCCCCGTGAAGAACTGCTCTTCCAACATTTTATTTATCAGCACAAATAACTAACTAGGACAGTAGGACCTGGAACCCTTTGAAAGTTTGGCATTGGTTGTTAGAGCATGATAATAGTTAGTCAATGTTAAACTGTTAGAGCAGCATTTTGCATGTCTGCAGTTAAAACTGAAGATCACAATTCACAACAATAGAATAACACTAGTTTAACCTTTATCAATGTTATCAAATAACATTTATGGTACCGCCATAAAGGTATAACGTGGCATTTTTGAACCCCTCTGCCATTCACTATCCTTTATTTCCCGTTATATAGCGGTGTCCACCATATCTGCCATGGCGCCCGCCATATCCGCCATGGCGCCCGCCATATCCGCCATGGCCATGGCTTTATGGCGCTCATGGCAGATGTCCTCCTCATCCTCTTTTTTTTTCTCATCTTTTCTCTTGTGAAGCTCCTAAATTGTGAACAAACAATTACGGTGAGCCTTCTTAGGCCACTAGCCTCGCCGACGACCTGAACCATAGTGGCCTAAGCTCCAGAAAGTTTTCCGGCTAACAAATCCAGTGACCCATAAGAGTTCTTTTTGTTTTCTGTTTGTTTTTTCTTCTTCCTTCCATTTATTTCTTTTTCTTCGTTTTTTTTCATCTATTTTTCATTTCTCCATATGTTCATCATCTCTTTCTCTTTTTTTTTTCTCTCTCTCTCTTTCTTATTTTGTGAGTGTTCTTGTTCTTCATCTATTTAATGTTTTTGTTCTTGGTTTTTCAAAATTTAGAATTTAGTTATCTGTATTTTAGAATTTCATTATCATGTTCTGTTATGTTGTTTTCTATATTAAACCTATAATGTGGCTCCCAATTTTGTTTCACTTATTGCACAACGGTAAGCAATAAGCACCCAACACTAAAGTCATGCATCCTAAAAGTCTTTTTTTTTTTTTTTTTGGTTTTGATTTTAATATATATATATATATATTATTTTTGTCCCCCATGGCATATGCCATCTGGCATCTGTCATATGTTTTTGCCAGATTTTTGGCTTACCATTATCTGTTATTGATATGCTCTCTTAAAGATTATCAAAAAAACCGTTATAATGCCGTTATAACGGTATGGCGGGCGGTTTTGGGCCCCCCCGCCATTCGCCATCCGCAAAATGGCATTTTGTGGCAGCGTCCATCATTTCTGCCGTGGCAGCCGCCATTCCGTTTTGACCCATAATACTATAAAGGTGATAGCGGACGTCTGGGCCAGTTTTGGGCTTCGAACTAGGCCCAACAAGTATGCCCTAATGGTTTTAGGGTTCAAGAATGAGAAGCTACGACAGCCACCCACCCAAACGCAGCTCATCTACCTTCAACCCGTCTCCGGTGACGTTCCTCCACCGTCGCCCACCACTCGCCGGTCACCTCTCCGACCGGCGACCTGAACCGCGGTGGTCCACGACTCCGACGACCTGAACCACGACGCACGCGTGAACAGGACCTACGAAATTCGAAACCACCTTTGATCACCATCGTTCACCATCGCCCACCACCCCTTGGTCACGTTTCTGGCAGGCAACCTGAATCGTGGTGGTCTTGCACTCCGGCGAACAACTCCGGCGAGCAATTCCGGCGAGTAAAACCTAACAGTTTTTTTTTCACCAGTTTTAATCCTCCTTCTTCCTTTATTTTTTCCTACTCCTTTGAGTCCTTTCTTAATTTTTAATGAGTTCGTTGCTGCATGTGCAACAAGAATTTTTTTTAATCTTAATTCTTCTACTAATTGGTCAATTTAAATTTTTTTTTCTATAAATTCTAAACTAATATGGAGTTCCTATTTTATGAAGTGAATGATTATATTGAGGAAGACAAGGAGAATGATAATGGTAATTAGATTAGCAAAATACTTCATGTACTCTTATTTTTCTCTGTTTTTTTTGTTGTATTTTAATCAATTATATTATGAGACTTAATGAATTATGGTATTGTTGTTATGATATTTAAGTATTTAAGTTGATATTATGTTACTTTTAATTTAGTTTTGTTGCTTGTTATTTATTATTTTATTATTTTCTTTGTATATAATATATAAATATTTTTATTATTATTATTATTATTTTGTCCACCATGACTTCTGCTTCTGCCATTAGAGGATTTTTGACCTCACATTTTCTCTTCACATTTTGTCACTTTCTCTGTCAGTCCTTGAATGCTAACAATAGTGTGCAATGTAAATCTAATCATTTCCACCTCTTGGCTTTCCCATTCATCCCGGTTTTGCAAGTACTTTTATCTAAAGGTACAATCTTACAACTCCAGGGAGAAATTTGAACAACTCCCCGTTCTTACTGCTCCAATATTCCCACATCTTAACAGGAACTGTCACAAAGAGGATGTAATTACCGACCGAAGACTTACTTTTTTAAGTCAGTTCTCATTTTCATAAATCAAATTAAACTACTTCTCATAAAAGCCTAAACTCCCAGTCATGCACTCAAGGATTCTACCAAAGGCAACATGTAGCAAAAGCAAGCAATTACCTTAAAAATCCATCTACTGGCTCAACAAGAGGCTCCCAGGCTTCATACTTATCATTATATGACCTGGCAGCCAAGGAGAAACCAACAGTGCAGTTTAAATACCCAGTTCTTCCGTGCAAACTAAATGTTATTCCACTCAAAGATATATTGAACAAAGGAACCATCTGTCAAATTTAAAGAAAAGCAGTCAATACAGAAGTACGGAGGATTATAATGATTAAATTTCACACAAGAGTAACAGCAATCAATGATTATTCATGTCAAGGATCAATCAACAGCTAGAAATTGTTCATGCATCCCATAGGCCACAACAGAGTAAAATCCCACAAAATCTTCAAATCTAAATTTCAGGTTGGCAAGAAGAGAATACAAGGTCAGTATATAACCTAAACTAGTATAGCAAGAGGACCGAATCTTGGAGTCCATCTTCTATTATTACATCTTCGAAGTGTAAAAATTAGAGTAAGGAAGAAACTGGAAAGAAAACAGACAAGAACAAAACTTCACATAATTTTATACTGAACAAGTATAGAGCTTAAACTCTAAAGATCTGTCAGGAACAGACCCTCCCAAAACTTAAGCTGACAGGTGAAGGCTTATAAATAGTTTTATATCTATTGCATTCCCCTCCCATGAGCTCTTTTGGGCTTGAAGTGTGGAGAATACAAAGTTACCCTACTTGCACTGAAATTCAACTTTCTATTGAGTGGAACAGGGACTGCAAGGATCCATTACAAACCGCTTAGTAATACTTCCATGGAGGCTCTAGTACCTTGTCAAGAAGTAACTCATCCAAAAAGCTTAAGCAGTTAAGTGAAAGCTCATCAATGATTTTATATCTAACTGTAACAGTACTGTTTAAGAATTATATCAATAATAGCAAAAAGAAAAATAAAAAATAACATCAACTCTTTCAATGGTCAATGAGGCACACTAAAAACACTTATTAGTCACATAATTTAACAAAAGTTTGTACCTGTGAACCAACCCCCCAAGGTGAAATAGTGTAATAAACTTATATTAGCTAGGAAAATCTCTGGTATTGCTAAAGGGTTCATTTCCATTCCTTCTATTTTCACTAAACAGTTCAAAATATTTGGTGTAAATAAAGGTATACACATAACTATAGGTTACTCGTGGTCAACAGCACCTCTTTTTTAAAATATTAAATCTACTAGAAGCATGCAACAATTAGCAATTCTCTAGCTTTGGAGAATACCTATAGATATAGGTCCATTCATAATAAAAGAGCTTAAGCTCCAAGGAGATTAGGCACGAAATATTATTCTAACAAAATCTACAAACTACTAAGCATTTTATTCTCACCAAACCACTGTAATCGTCAAAAAGAGCCATTGAGAAGGTCCCAATTCCAGCATCAATGACTGTAACATCTGAGCCACTCGGCACATTAGAATCTGCAAGCTTTAAAGCAAACCTTCTAGGGGGTCTTTTAAAACCACCACGGACTATAAAAGTCCCCAACTCATTGCCAACAGCCCATATGCTAAATGGTTCGGTTACATGCTTGGCATCAGATGTATCCCACACATTTTCTTCCAAAAATTTATCCCCTGCGACCAAATCACTTCGCATGCATCTTAATGTGCTAAAATCATTTTGCTTAGGTTTCCCTTTACATGCAACACAACCCAAGGAAACAAAGCCAGGAGGAGCTTGTGGAAGCCAGAATGATATACTTTCCATTCCCCTCTGCTTTTTTATTTGTCCAACAAGTTGAAAATCTAGTGGAGTTTTAAAAATATCTTCATCTCTGGAATCATGAACAACAATGCAGGTGTTCGGAGGCTCATACCTAGAAGGCAGAAGATTGCATCAGTTCCCTATTAATTGTAAAGAGCAAGACAATAAATCACCATCTAAACTTTTATGATGAAAAGAAAGAGAACATAGGTGTGAAACACACCCTTTAACAGCTATATCACCAAAATATATCTTTCCCATTGGAACAACTGGACGCCAAATGGATAACTTCTTTCTCGAGTTTGATCCCTGATTCCACCACACTAACTCAAAGCTAGCAACAGGCTCATAACGCCTATTAGAATTTGCATCAATAGACTGGTCAGGTTGCAAGGCTTGATGCCCAACAGAAGGAGCATGGGAATCCAGACTACTTAATGCTGCTGAGGATGGCTTCAAAAAATCATATTTAATGCAACGCAATTCATATGCTTTACCCATCAAACCAAGTGAAATAGGATCTACTGGCAAGAAAGTGCCAACAGAATTATCCACTCGCCAAAATGCCACACTGGATGGTGATCTGCAATCAAGACAAACAATATTTTGTTTTCAAAGGAAAAAAACACCATGATCATTTGTCTGATCAATAGTTAAATTTGAAAATAAAACACCCAATAATTAAAACAAAAATGCCATGATCATATGTCTGATCAATAGTTAAAAGCCATATGGATACATTTTAAATCATTACCATATAAATAGCAGAAACAATTAACCTCAACACTAATTGATAAGTTTGGTAAGTATAAAATTGTAAAACGGCCTTTCATGTTACAACTTACAACAGAACACAAGAAAATTTTCACTTACATATCAGAAGTGCCAATTGTGATGCAATCCCTTAATGAACATGGGGATACAAAAGAAGACGGGATGCAAAAAGCAGAAGACAGTGGGGGTGGCGTCTTTCCATGAGTAACAATACAGCCTAGAGCAACATAACCTTTGGGAGCTTCAGGGAACCAAATGGAACAAATGGCATCTGCCTCAGCTTTCCATAACAATTCAGAACTGTCTACTTCTTCAGCTTTAAAGCCCACAGAAGTTAAAGGTGGCCAAATCAATCTGAAACTAATAGGTCGTTTAAGTGATACAGAATTGGTATTTAATGCAAGAACTCCTTTTGTCGGTGGCTTGTCTCTGTTGAGAAAACACAACATATTAACATTCAAACCGGTGGGAATAAATGCATCAGTCTAGACCAGAAAAATATTAAGAATTTTCACTGACAGTGGTGTCAGGTAGTCACCAAGTACGGCAAAACCAGGAGGAGCATGAGGCCTCCAAAATGCATAAGTTTGATCAGTATGATGATCTGCATGTGAAATAAAAATATGAATATGACTAGTCTTGCACATTTATTAATATATTTACCAAAATGAAAGCAAATAAAGAACATCAACATACTTTTTATTGTTCCAACTTTGTCAAAGTGAGAGCAAACAATTGTCATTTTCTTCGATGTCATCCTTAAAAATGCTAGAATATCATCTTCCACAGCCATAAATAATCTTAGGATACTGAAGGTGAAATTCATGAAAATATCGGAAATAGATAAATGTATATTGGTCCTCCCTGAAGCATTTGAATACTTCAAGGATGTATCAAATGGTTCTAAAATCCTGATTCCATTACTCTCCATAGTCAACCCAAGTACATCTGCACTCATCTCAGTATTGTTACCCTTCATAACAATCCTAGCAATGACAACACATTAAATGTCAGCTAATCCCACATTATCAATTTCCAGCATGTAAATTTCTGAAGAAAAGAATAATATGTGAAGATTCAAGAAATATATTATGGACATGATATACTCTACTTACTTCATAGACAAAAAATAAATATATCATAAGTTGTTGACTCTAGAAAGTCATATTAACATTTCCTTGCAATATATAGTGCTCAAGCCAATTATTTGCTCAAGCCAATTACAACAAATAAGAGGAATAAAAAAAATAGGCTTAATTGTACCTTTTGCCCTGAAGTTACGCAATCTTGTAAATTTTACCCCTCAATTTTTTTTTTGTAAACTTTGTTCCTTAATTTACAAAATATCACGAATTTCACTCCCATGTAGGAAAAACGTCACAATTAAAAATATTTTGTGAGATTTTCCTTTAAATCATCAGAACTTTCTACATGGGGACATAGTTTGCAATACTTTGAAAATTGGGAGCACATTTTGCGGAGAAAAAATGGAGGCAAAATGTACAATTAAGCCAAAAGACTAACAACAAAAATATGATAATCTAATAATATAAAAGATTAATATTTTAAAAACTATATGCAGGATGCGGCATCCTATATAACAGCATAACTGTCACATGGCAGAGCCCTACATCCTACACCCTCTTCTGGAATGTACTTTCCAAACAGGAGGAGGGTTATTGGACTATAGAGTGTCATCACACAGCATATTCCAACAGAAACATATCAAATTGCTCCACCAGTGTTCCCATTAAAGCCCCAAGGTAATATCAGCAAAAAAGATAAATCAAATTCCAAAGGACCAAATTTCTGAAAAAACTTAAGCTTCTAGATGAAGTCAGCTCAAGACTGGTTAAATATCTCTAAGACACTCTTTGGACTTAAAATATGGACAAGGCACAAGCCACTCAACATTACGCTGAATTTTAATTTCATGAACCATAATTACAAGTTAGGTTTGGTCTCCAAAACAATTGATTATATTATCACTCGGATAGGCTTGAATACAATTAGAGAGAAAATATATTTGTTTTCTATTGCTGCTTGTAAAAAAAATAAAGATGATCGAGCCTCTGTTTACAAGATATATTTATACAGAGGCTCGGGTATAGAAGCAGTTACAACAGTGTAACTGAAACAGTTACAACTAACTAGAGTTACATGACTAAGGTTTAAACCAAACCAATATAGTAAAGAGTAATACACCCCCCCCCCCCC